TAAAGTGGGCTTTTAAAGTTCGTACCGATGAAAAAGGCAATGAATCGGGTCGGCAGCGCAAGTTCCCACTTCGCCTCGTCGGGGAACAAAAAAGTGTAAAGTAGCTTCGAAGTAAGTACTACAAGTTGAAATGGGTTTTATTTAATAGTCTTCAAAATAGGGAGTAATTGAAATGTAACGCTTGAAAACTCTATGGAGTTATGTATACTTATGTATACTTTCTGTAGCGCTTTCATGAGACATCAAAGTTTACTGCAAGTAATGGTTTGATGATTCAGTAAAATTTCATTCCTACACTTAAGCCTGGGCTCACCGCGTGAAAGAGGGAGCGCAGAGGTCAAACATTCGGATTCAACTGTTTTGCTCATGGGTCGGAAAATTTGAGAGTGAATGGCAATTTTGCTAAGACCGGGAGTGATATTACGAGTTATATTTCCTCTTCAGCTGGTCGTGTGCGAGAACAATGAGAATGTTAGGTAAAATAGGTAAAAATTCTGTTCTACTGTTAACACTGTAATTGTAAGTACTGGAAAGGGGAAGAAGAAAGGGTTGGACAAAAGCAGGTTTGGTCACTCACTAGGTCCTCCAGTGCATGGATGGCTCGACCGGCATAGACCGTCAATGATTCGTCCTCGCTTTCGAGAATGTGAGCCAGGCAAATGAAGTTTTCGACAGACAGGGCCATGAGCTCTGAGCGCCGATTAGTAGCCTCATTTGAGACTGCTAGATTGTCCACCAAGGTCTCCAGACTGCGAAACAATAATTCCTCGTCCGACTCCCGCAGCTCGTGCTGCAACTTGCCTGAATCAACACAAGCATAATCCTTTTCTTAAATTGGCCCGCTTTTTGAAATGAGTTCATACCAAATTCTCTGTTTTTCAATGAAACTCCAAGCCTGTTTAAACAGTAGTTGGAAATGCTTATAATCTGTTTGGTGCGTTCATTCATTTCAAATTAACGAGGTTCATACTTTTGGGGTTTCTCGCTGAACGAACAAACGCAAAACTCTAGTTGATGACGAGTAATGTGTGTCCTTCTAGTCGAACTAAGACTTGACCTGCACCATTACTGCATAGACAGCTGGGTGGATGTAGTAAGATCAAATTCACACTAATGTTCCTCAAGGCTTGGCGTCCATGCATGTCATATCGATGAAGTTGGTAAAACTATCGTTCAACTTTCACCAGTCGCATGTAGGCACCTCTCCACTTAACAACAACTACTGACATACCTTGCTTAATGAGATAGTTCAACGCCAGGCTGATGGATGGCTCTGCATTCAAGGCAGATCGAGTCAATGAGTTTCCGCTCCGATTATTGTGATAGCCGAGCTTGCGATTTTGGCCGTCAAATTTTGGCAAGATTTGGAAATTTAGTAACTTTAGGCGATTGCAGAGTTGTGTCAAAGGTATTTTGTCCCAGATGCTGATGTCCATCAAGTCAAGGTCCGTTAGTTTGTCAATCAAATTATCAATTGCTATAAGAAAAGAAACGTCCTTCTGAGAGGCCGTAAGTATCAGATGTATGCATAGAGCTGCAAAGTTGGATTGAAGTAAAACAAAAATTTTTAAACTCTTCAAGCGCAAGTTGCACATCCGTTTTTTTGTTGACATCCTGTAGAATTTGCGCGTACTTTGATCAGTAGGCACCGAATGGATGAAGCTCGAAAACAGCCCAATTTTTGCTGGTGGGGCACTAGAACACGAGTCTATGTGCGAGCTGACAGTTAAATGAAGTGAAATCCATCATCCACTACGAAATTAAGAGCAGGACAAAAAATACATTTTCATCCACAACTACACCTTAAACGTGTTACATTGCGCAGGTTCTAATGTCCATCCTTGCAAGCACCAAACGGGTTAAAGCGTGGGATCAAATTGCGACATTTGGAGAGAGGAGACCAGTTTTTGCTTCCACGCATGGCAGCCAAACATGGTATGAATGAGGTTTTGCATGACTTCGTGTCATCATGGTGGCATGGCAGGGGTCAGTTGCATATGGAAGCGTGGTGGCGCCAAATGCGAGTGGTAATCCATGCGACTATCTAACAATCACATGATTGAATGCAAAATTCTCTTGTGTAGAATCATGCAAAAAGTTGGTGTAATGCTTCTGCTATAGTCATACTGACTCAAAGATGTGCCTGCACAATCCGTTTTATTGAAGACAGGCCAAACGTAAGCTCGTAAATAATGCAAGTGGTTAACTACACCCCCGCTGGAGGTGGCATTGTCAGCAGAAAACACCGTAGTTAGGCCGTTAAATCCTACTTTACAAATCCAGCTGGCAGCTATAAAAATGTTACTAGTGAAATTAAGTGTACCAAAATCAAAGCTTTTGGGGTTGAACCAACTTTGCTCTCTGAGTGTGAATAAAGAAATGATATTTGGTTACAAGAAAGTTAAAAGTTACCAAGGATTCTGTGTTACAAGTTGATTTTACTTTATTCGCAGAAAGGTTAAAATTCATCGGAAGCTATAACAGATAGACAAATGATGAAACCATAAAATGTGGTGGGGAATAGCTCAAATAATGTCACTGATTGTGAATCTTTAATATTTAGTTCTTTGGAGCTGGAAAATAACCTTTCTGTTTTTACGACGAACAAATGTGCCGAGTTTTCGCATTCTGAGAATTGTAGAGTCTTAAAATGTGACAGTGAGTGGGTTTTGAATTTGCACAAATATTACTATCCACAGTTAATGGCTATTTCTATCTACCATGTGAGGGAGTTCAAATTGTGACCCTCTTTACCATTTCTACTTCATTTTGGCTCTCTTACAATCGCACCAACTGCTCATTCAGAGAGAGGAAGAAATCGAGGCAAGATGGTTACCACTGTCAAGAGTCTGCTTATCCTCGTCGTCGGTATCGAGATCACCATATTCTTGGAAAAGGAATTTGTTTAGATTGGTGCGCCGGATCATTAAGGTGGGCCGGAGGGTTCCGTCGAGGCCAGAGAAGCCGGAGACAGACAAGGGCGTGTGCCAGACGAAGCGCGACCAAAAGGAGAGAGGGAAAAGAGGCGCTCGCTGATCATTGCCACAGTAGGCGAGACAGTGAGAGTTTATGAAGACCTTGAAGGGATCCCTCTCCTCCACATAACTCAGAACAAGACCGGTGATGTCTGAGAGTATTTCCGACTAGGACATGAAATATAAACAATTATTGGAATTTTCATAATACTTTATGAAATAACAGCAGAACAGGATGTGTTCAAACAGTTACCACGACTTATTCCTCGTTTCTCTGTGAGTTTATTAAAGTTAAATTAACTTTAAACAAAATTTTGCCAACATACCTAAATTTTACAGCTTTAACTTCAGTTTAACAGAAATGTTATGCAAATCTTGCAAAAAATACAGACTTTAATGACTTCACTTAATAAAATTTAACATTATTTTGAGGGGAGGAAAATCTAAGGAAGGAAGTTCACGTCTGATGATTGGTTTTTAAGGGGTCACAGCATTTGCCTTTCAAAAATGGTCCAAGCACCTGGAGAGTGGAGTGATGTGTCACTAATTTACGTGACACAAAATGCTACGGCTTCCTAGAAATCTTGGAGAAGCAATACCGTCCCTTTATGGGAAGGGATGTTGTAAAATGACTTCCCTTATAAGGGGAGGCGGACTAATATGAACATAATCAGGGCTAATTTGTGGCCACTACCCTCGAGGCGAGTCTCCTTGCAGTGGCAACTCATTTTCAAATGCTTTTCAGCCACCTGTAGTGCAAAAGCGTTTTAAGTTGGACACGTTAAGTTCAAGCTTTTATTCCTATCATGCAAAGCTGGATAAATTTATGCATCCTTCATGGTCCAATAAGGAAGCAAATAAGTGCTCTTTAAGGACGTTTCTTGTGTTGTTTTAATTCTTCGAAAATCATTATACTGCGACCTATCAGTGAAGATGGAAGAGACACACACATGAGTCGGTGTTGGTTTACTTAATCACCAAAGTGCCACCTCCATCGACATTGCTGGATTCTCCTGCGTAGGCACATAATTGTTCATCAAAATGAATTCGGCTGGAATGGTAATGTATTAGCACAACAATGCGAGAATACCGATGCAAACCCTAATAAGATCATCTAGACTTTTCAAGACTTTCAGTAAGTGAGACGTATAGAGGGATGCATACCTGGGCGTCCAGAGCCATGGCTAGCAGGTCTTCAGTAATGCACAGAAGATTGCTGTCACCGTCATTATCCATGTCCGACGAGGAGGTGTAGAATCTGTTTGAGGATCCCAGATGCTGAATGAGATGAGAAACATGGTTCAGATGCCATTCAATCACTGAGTCTAGCTGGTTCCAACCAGAGGTGAGAGGCTGCGCCCACGTCCCCACATCTGATCCGAACTTCGCGGAGGAACCGTCAATTGCGATATCCAGCATTGAGAGACTTTTTTCTAGGTCACCTTCTATAGACCTTGAAGATATTGTGTGGCTCGAAGAATTCGCAGTGATTCTTGAGGATGACGATAACTGCTCCCGAAGACCTTGAAGAACCTTAGAAAGCTCCTAAGAGTTTCATTTGAATTAGTTCACCATCAACAATGTGCAGGAAATGGAAGTTTTCGGAATTTACGACTTACATAAAGTAATGCTTGGTACCGATTTGGCTGGCGATTAATGGCTTCAACCTCATTTTGAACTGACTCCAATAGGGGTTCCAGCGCAATTGTTTCTTCACAGTAGTTGTTGTTCGCATTATCTCTCAAGCGATCAAAATCTTCCTCCTCTTGCTCATCATTCATCTGTGGAAACGGAACACACCTCCCAGTAATACATTTACCGGAAACATTGAGAAAAAAGGGTAACTCTAGTGTTGTGGAATAAAAGAGCGTTTTGTTGTCAGTGTTTGCTCCCGGTATTCTTTTTAAGGCTAACGTCCAAATATGCTATGAACAGCCTAGAAGAAGAGGCTCACATTCATTACTAGTAGCAAATCTCCCAGTGCAATTCGTGGTTCCTAAACTTCCACCGTTCCTTAAAATGCGAAGGTCAAGCAAACAAGAAAGGCTGGTTCTTCAAAGCGAAACACTGCAGCACCACTATGAACAAATGGCATATCTTTATGGTTTTCTTAAAAAAATAAAATTCCATGGTTCAGTGTTTAGCCACTGTTTGCCTCAAGGAGTGCAAAGGAGCCTAGGCTGCATTTACAAATATTTAAAAAGTCATGCTGATCAAACTAAAAGTTAACTTCAATAGGAAGTAGATTTCGAGTCTAGACCTTTAGACTGGCGTGGAATCCTGACGATGAACAGTAAAGTCAGCATTATCATCTCTGACACCTACAAAGGCAATTGACCATCAACGTAAATAAAAGTATACCCGTTGCGTTAATAAAAGTGGATCCGTAAAAATGGGCATTATGGTGTGCATTGTAAAAGGCGTTGGAAAGCTAAGCCACTTACTGTGTTTTGTTGGAAGATGGAGTTATCAGAACCTGAATTGCAAGGCACTTGTGTAAAGAAAATGTTGTGCTCGGCACGGAGAGGTTTGCGACATTTCGGATGGGTAATAGAGCTCTTGGAAGAGATGGAAGGCGTAGGTCCATTACTTATTGAACGCATCGAGTCGAAGCCCCCATCAAGATCATGTTCCTCCTCTTTGCCACTGGGAGGTCGTTGTATTTGCTGATCCCTTACCATTGGTATGGTGCCCAAGTTCTGCGTACTCACTTCCATGCTGTTTCCGCAAGCCCACTCCTTAGCGAGGCTTCGGGAAACCGGGTATTTCTCCAACGTAAACAGATCAAGCTGCGTTAAAGGTCTGGAAAGTTTATATGGGAAAGTTCTTTAGTTTCAGTGAATAAACATCTCCCTACCTTATGCATGCTCACATCAGCCCGTGTTCACCCATTCCTTCCACGAACTTTCAGCATTACCATCCCTCAATGTAGAAAGAAATTCACTTATATTGACGAAAACCTTTTCACTTATGCTCCTTTGTTCTGCTATAAGCATTTCTGCTGACAATTTACAGCAGCATGTCGGA